GCCTCCTAAGGTTAAATACTGATCCATCAGTACGAAACCGGATTGGCAAGCCCATGGTGGAGTCCTTGAACGCATCAGACAGCATTGCGGAATACATAATACTGAAGAGTGTGGGAGCAAGAACACAACCCTGTTTTACACCGTTTGTGACGGGGAATGCTGGAGATGATTGACCGTTGTCCTGTACTCGGGCCATCATACCATCATGCAGCTGACGGATGATGTTTGTGAACTTGTCTGGGCATCCGTATTTCTTCATGATTTTCCACAAGCCAGCTCTATTGACCCTGTCAAAGGCCTTATTCAAGTCGATAAATGTAGTATATAGGTCTGTATATTGTTCCTGGCATTTCTCTTGAAGCTGTCTAGCAGCAAATACCATATCGAATTAAACTATAAAAGAGTTGATTTTTAATGAAAAAAAAAACATAGTTAAGGTTAGTTGAGACGTTGGTAGGCTTAATGGATAAATAGCAAATAATATGTTTGTTAACCAAAAGTTGGATAGAACCACCTGTAGCAAAAGCCTAATACATTTGAGTCAAAGAATGTCGATAATTCTAGCTTGAGAACCTGTTTCGGGAACTACTGAGCTTATTAATTCAGTGCAGTTAACTATATTTTCAGGTTTGTTGACAATCTGCCAATTAACTTTGAAAAAAAAAAAATAAAATTCCATTCTATTATATTTACCCGGGATATGTAAATTGCCCGGGGAGTACTTTGTCTACTAAAAATGGTGCAGGGTCCCGGGATCTCAGGAGAGGAACCCTTACTTACAGAAAAATCTTTATGAGTCTTTGCATTCGAACTACCTGGAGACTACCAGTCAAGAGAATCATTATTGACGTAAATGGCACTATAGTGTCTATTGACTTAAGTAATGGAGAGATGCTAGTATCAGTGTTCCAGTCACTTAAGCGAGTAAATAGTTTAACTACTATTAGTTGGTGTGTAAATTTACACCAGTTACGAAGACTCTGTAAATTTTTATAACTTCTAAGGAGATCAGTATTTCTTTTTTTAAGTTATAATTCCGTACCAGAACTGCAGTTACTAAACATTAAAAAAATACGGAGTCGCTTTCACTCCTTTTATTTAACGATAATTGATGCACGATCTTTATATAATATTTTCAAATAGCTTGATTATTTGTGAAAGCATTGTTAGTTTGTCAATAATAAATATATAAAGTAATTAAAAAAAATCATTTATATTTAATTAATTATTTATTACCTCTTTATTACTTTCAAATATAGAATTTAGACAAACTTAAATATATCGATACTGAAAATGTGGCGTAGTTTTCCATCTTCGATTTCTTCTCCGCCACTATCTGCAGGAAGCGCAATTTTTAACAAATAGACTTGACGTTCACCATTCCATTGATTGTGTAATGTTTTTGTTTTACTTCTTCCCGGATTATTCCTTTTATAATGTAGAATTCATACTTACAGGAAAATACAGATTATTATAATATTTACTTATTAACTTAATTTTTTATAATCTAACTTGTATTATTATGTTAATATTAGGCCTGCCTGCCTCCCTTTTTTTCAGATTTGATGAGTTTGTTCAAATCAAAATCAAGTCAATTGTCAATAGAAACTTTCTGAACCCATGCTCATACACTGGGGTCGTGGGGTATTCAGGGATTCACTTGTTGGATTTGACTTCAATATGAATATCCTATCAAGTAGAAACAAAGTCGTTGCAAAAGCTAATACTAGCATACTAAGAGACTTAAGCCTATGGCCATGGCTATGGCTATGATGCCTATCCCACTGCTTTTCAGTTTCAAATGCTAATATAATAGGCAAATAAGCTAATAAAGAAGAGGGTAAATTATAAACCCTAATTCAATGCAACTATAATAAACACGCAAATGACGTCATGGAGAGAACATTTATAATCAGCCAAAGCAGTCTCTGACTCAAATACAGATAATCCTTAGGCTTAGGCGTAGATACTTCGATAAAACAAGGGAGACTACTACTTTTTTGTATCGGAAATAAGCGTCGGCGCCTAAAAATCAGAGTTTTTAATTTTCCGATGTGTGTGTCTATTTATTATTAAATTAGTTCTTTGGACATATATTTGAGTTCCGTTTCCGGCCTTATAATTTGGAAGACATCTTGGCCTACATTTCCATCCAACTATTTTGCTTTTTTCAATCGAACTTCATTTTGAAAATCTTTGTTATATATAAGGCATCTTCGAATACAAAATTTTTTGTGAAATAAAAGGAACATGTCTTTCATATTAAATCGTGTAAGGCATTAGATATTGATATATATCTGTGCCAATTCTCATTGATGTAGGTAGTGTCCCACGTTCGCTACGCTTCTCCCAGTGACCCATATCACCATAAGGGGGCTCAGCCTTATTTTGACATGGCGTGGGCCACGCCCCCTTTTTAATGGCGGAAGTTGCCAATACTTAAGAAATATTTAATTATTACCACTATATACATCAAAATATTTGATAACTTGTGTTTCAGAATGCATTTTGAAGACATTTAAACTGGAATGTTTTAATTTGAGCTTTAAAAACACTGTAGAGTCCATATTATAAATGATCAGAAATTTCCGTGTGCAACACGTTGTCATTGGCAACCATTCACAGCCACTTGCATAACGGCTATATCGTAGTACTATCTCAGAGTTTCATTCATAAGAGTTTGCCGTGTGCAAAAACTATTAAACCATTGGTCAGGGAAAGCTTTAATTAATTATTCATGTGCCAAAGTTGAAAGTTTAAAATAAGTCAACCCTAAACAGTATTTTAGTGATGAGGGAATGCCTTAGCCTTATATAAACTATATAGTCATTGCGCATGACGCAATGAGCGGAATGAGGTCACAGAATGTGGAGATGCAGTCCATGTTAAAAAAGGACAAACCAAGTCGTACTTTAAAAATTCATAACTTTAAAACTACAACAGCTAAAAATATAATTTTGGTGTTATAATTCTGTAAAAATTTAGTTCTATTCAACTATGCCATTGGTTTATTTTTACAAAATGTTAAAATTTTTGACCAAAGTATCTAGGCCTTAGGCAATTTAGGGCGAATAGAATAGGATTGAAAGGGTCAGATAACTCTAAGAATGTCATAATAACTTAAATGAATAACTCTAAGAATGCCATAACTTAAATGAATAACTCTAAAAATATAACTTAAATGAATTATTGAATAATTTTAAGAATGTCAAAACTTCAATGAATAATAGCTTAAATTAATAATTCTAGAATGTCATAACTTAAATGAAAAGGCTCTCTCTCCAAACAATTCAAACATGGCTAATGATTCAAATGGCAAGGCAATTAACCATCATTTTAAATAAAATTTAAAAAAAATTTAGATCTGATTTTTAGAATCAGTCCATAAATATGTGAAGAAAAATCTTTTAGACCTACTTATACTTAATAATAATAATAAAGCTTATTTGAAAATCACGCTTCATCCCCTAGGCTCAAGGCGCGGTACAAAGTCAACCATATTAAAAAAGAAATGAAAAAATCTATATTTTACCACATTGAAATACAAAACGCAACATTACAAAAATTACATACGAGAATACTCATTCTAAGTCTTTCATCCCTTGCAACCAATAGGACTGAGAATGACATATTTTCATAACCTGTTTTAGTTTAAAATATTCACATTAATCATAATACTCATAATGGCTTCATTATTACTGCATATTGTTATTTTTAAAAATATAATGTCTCATTTTTTCAATAATGATTATCAGGACTTTTGACCATAGATTTGGAAGTAAAATTGGTGTCAAGAAAAAAAAATGAACATGGATGTTGATGAAGAGCAAGAGGCTAACAATATGGAGGATAACACACAACAAGAGCCACCAAGAACCCCCCTTGTTTTTAATCCAGCAGGTTGAGTGAACAATTAGCATGCAGTAGATTAACTGTCCCTTGTGGTTGTGCTTAGTTTGTGTTAATATTTAATCACATATGGGGGTGATTCTAGGTTAGTCTAGGTCACAGAGTAAAACTTTTGTCTTGTATTTAACTTTTTAACATATGTCTGCAAGTGGGGGTTGGTGGTGGAAAAGATGCATTGTTGTTGTGGATTATGTTTGGTTTTTAAAAAAAAGTTAAAAATTCACCTTTTTCTTGTTAGGTGATAATGCTCTGGTCATTAAAAATGAAACTTGAATAATAGAGAGGATCTTAATTAAACATAGTGATCATTTGGTCTTTCTGTAACTGTAAGGAACTGGTCACTATAGCTGCACACTAAGCGTGTAAAGCCATAAAATAATTTTTTCATATCTGAATAAACTGGGTCTGGGCTTATAACATAATTGCTGTCTGCAGCGGAATAAGGTGGATGGATTGGAGAGTAGATAAGAGTAAGGATTTGGACATGGTTTGTAGTGGGGAGAAGGGAGAATTTAGAAGATGAGGTGAACACAGGCTGCCTCCTGTGGCGTCTGATCTCCTAGTTTTTAAATGATAAATGTCTATTAATACACATGTTTCATTCACTTAAACCCCACTTATAAAAACCTCATATACAGTTGGTAATAAATAATGGTAGTTTTTAATTTTGTCAAAATCTCTTAGATTATGGACCTGTGGAGGTTCCTGATTTGGTAATGTCTGTAGCAACATATGAAACCAATGGTCCAAGGCTTATGATCACTCAGATTGTCAATGAAAATTTCAAGTCTTATGCTGGAATTCAGAAATTGGGACCCTTTCATAGAGTAAGTTCTATTATTTTTAAAAGTATGATTAAAGAGTTAGCTTTAGACAACTTGGGATTCTTAAAATAGATACATGCTACGGTCCTCTATTGGTGGTCTAGTGAAGTCCAGTTTTGTTTGAAACTTTTGAAAATGGTGATTTCCTTGATCCCACCATTAGGTCAATGATTTTTTAATCATTGTTTTGGCTCTAGTTTCATTAAAAGGCTGAGAATATATAAATAAATCAGTTATGTTCATAATCTAAAAGCTTTTATGTTTTACTTTGGTGCTTTTCAATGTCTTTGAATTATTTTTTTTATGAGCAGCTGGGGGCTTTTGTATTTTAAAAAGCATTTTCTTTATATTTATAATGGTCAACATTTTTACTTTATCAGCAGCAGAAGGATATAATAATTTTAATAATTATTAAACAATTGATTTTCAAGCACTTTAAAAAAAAAATGCTTTTCTATTTCCCTCATCTTTACTTAGACTATGCTGTTGCTATCTCATGATTTCCTAACAAAACCTCAAAAAAGACTGTGACATAACTATTAACAATCTTGAAAGTATTTCACCCAAACTGAAAACATTTCTTGAGCTCCGCCATTTATAATTAATGGGTTGAACAACACTATCCTACTGGTGTAGTTTATACAGAGAATAGCTTAAAATTTATTTCCATTTTCTGATAACTTTTGTTGCCCCTCAACAGAACTTCACAGCAATCATCGGCCCCAATGGAAGTGGAAAATCTAATGTCATCGACTCCATGCTGTTTGTTTTTGGTTACCGTGCCAACAAGATCAGATCCAAGAAGATAAGTGTCCTTATTCACAATAGCGAGAAGCACCAAGACATCAACAGTTGCACAGTAGCTGTACATTTCCAGAAAATCATCGACACAGGGGTTTGTCTTATTTATACTTATTTATTTTACATCTTAGTTTACTACTTCTGACTTAAGTTCATAACCATAGCCATAAGACTGATTAACTTACTGGTATTTCATTGTTGAGATTTGTTAATAGCAGTTTCACAAATTATAAAAATCTATCAAACTTATCAGTGTTCAAGAAATTGAATTCCTGTGTTTAAAAATAAATAAATAATAAACTCTATGAATCAATTACGATTTCAGCCAGATGATGATCAATACACTGTTGTTCCAAACAGTGAGTTGGTGGTTTCTCGAGTGGCATTCCGTGACAACAGCTCCTGCTATTACTTGAATGGCAAGAAGGCTGCCTATAAAGAAGTGGCCCAAGTTCTTAGAGGTTCTGGTATTGATTTGGACCACAACAGGTTTCTTATTCTTCAGGTACTTGCCTGCCAGCACTTTTATTATTGGACAGATAAAATGATTAAAAGCTTTGTTTTAAGCAAAAAATGACTAACTTTTGAAATGAAACTTTTTCATTCTCTCTGTAGGGCGAAGTTGAACAAATTGCTATGATGAAGCCTAAAGCACTCACTGAGCATGAAGATGGGATGTTGGAGTTTTTGGAAGACATCATTGGATCCAACAGATTTAAGCAGCCAATAGATACACTAAACAAACGCATGGACACTCTAAATGACCTGCGCTCTGAAAAAGTAAGGATTCTTCTTGGCTCAATGAAGAAGAATATTTAACTTTTTTTTAAAAAAATTGTTTTTTTTTTGGTATTTTAATAATATTTTTTTTGTATCTATTTAATCTATGATTACAGACCTGTTTACTCTTACAATTTTGGCGTACAATGTACGATTTTGGCGTACAATGTAAGATATTGAGGTGTATGCATTATATACACTGTGTGGTTTTTTTACTATTAAGATAATGTATTGAACAATTTTGTGGGGATATTGTACGATTTTAAGAGTTTGGGGGTAAACAGGTCTGTGATTACTCATTCTATGCCCCAAAACAAGTTAATTTTCCCAAATGACTTTTTTTTTCTCCAGACAACCCTACCTCCCCCCCAAACACATTTAGGAGATTTCCTACACTTTATCTGAATTATAAAATTTAAGTGTAGAAACTGTTGAAAATATTTAGCTGCTAAGGTACTTCACAAGGACGATAATCAAACAAGCAGAGGCAACCACCAACGACAAACTTAAAAAATGGTTCCATTTTATTGGTCTAAGCCAGGCCTGCACCACTCAAAATGTAAGGCGGGCCGTAATACTTAATGAAAAACTTTTTGTGCAGGCCAAAAAAAATAGGACAGGACTTGTGCGGGCCAAAAGAAAATAGGACATGGGGGAAAGCCATTAATAAAATAATAATAATAAAGAATATTTCCTTGCTTTGCGGGCCGCAAAATGGGTGCTGGCGGGCCGCATGTGGCCCGCGGGCTCTATGTTGTGCAGGCTTGGTCTAAGCAAGCTAAATCCTTTATTTAAAAAAACAAACTGGGTAGCCAGTCTTTAGCAAAGTTTTTTTTTTTTACAATAATTGATGATAAGGAATGGATATGTTACACTTCTCAGCCCCAACGATGAGGCATGTGTAAAAAAAACAAACAACTAAATTGGGAACTTAAAGGGCAATCACCTTGACTTCTACTGAATCTGTGTTTGTATTTTCAAAGCGTAAGATTATAAAATATCAATTTATCTTTTCCAGCTCAACCGTGTGAAAGCTGTAGAAAAAGAAATGGAAAACCTGGAAGGTCCTAAAAATGAAGCTGTGGAGTTTCTTCTTGTGGAAAATGAGTTTGTGAGACTCAAGAACAAGATGTATCAGAAATACATGTAAGTGAATGTTATTCCAATGATAGTATGTGTGTGTGTTTGTCATGTTCTTGAAATTAATATTTAAAAAGAAAGGCAGGACTCAATCTTTGGTGTTGATACACTGATGGGACAGTCTTGTGGACGAAACATCAAGTTGTTTGTTGTTGAGATTTGGTGAATATTGGGACTAAATTGACAGATCTTGCCTAAAAAAAGTGGACTAGATGTAGATACTGGATGACATCATTCATTTCATTCTGCAACAACAGGGTAGATCTTTTTGAATATTTTTACAGTATATTGTGCCGGGACCCCACGCAAATGGAAAATAGTCAGGTATTCATTGAATAATTTTCCCGGACGGTAAAATGGGCCTTCGAGTAAGGGAATTTTCCAGCTAGTCAGGAATTTTTTAATTTGTAAAAAATAATATAAAAATTTGGATTCCATGAAAATTGACGTCAATCGCAGGCGTCGTCTATTTTTAGCCTTTCTGTTATCAAAAGGACTTTGCCAAAATGCTAGTGGTTTCCCCTTAACTGCGCATGCGTGTTTAGCTCTAAGAGTTTCGAATACCATACTACTTTGATGGACCAGAAATATACTTTGCCAAAATGCTAGTGGTTTCCCCTTAACTGCGCATGCGTGTTGAGCTCTACCTACGAGTTTCGAATACCATACTACTTTGATGGACCAGAAATATTTATTTTATTTTCACATCGCCAATCAAGAGATGTTTGACTGTTTGGGTAAGTAAAGTGTAAAATATAGTAAATAATTATTAGAATATAGTTTTCAATTTTGAGTTAACCATTATAAATAGAAAACTACTCATCCAAGCACTGTCTAAACTGCCTAAGCTTAGTGTACTTTGTTATGTCTTAGTCTTAATAAGTTGATTTTTAACGATTTTATTGTATGTAGGCGACTGACATGTATTTTTTATTAGAGCTAGGTAGCCTTTAACTTCTTTAAAAGACTTGATAAATTCACTTTACATTTAATTATGGAGCAGACTTTCTAAATTTAAATAAGCTAATATGATTATGTTATTTTGTGATATTATTTTAGCATAGCTTAGTTAACTAGTTTACGGCTAACTTTGTAACTTATTTAAAAGTTAATAAAACTAGTTGATTTGACTTGACACTTGATACATTGATTCAGGGAGCCTAACATAACTGTATATAGTTATTCTTTATTAATAGTTATGCACTTCTGTGCCCTGGGTATACTTGACAGTATTATTCTATCATTCATAAGCACAGTGGCATAGGCTAGGATGGTTTGGGGGGGGGGGGGGGCCTTGGGGGACCAAAAAAATCGCTGTGAATCCATCGTTCTGTCTATCTATCTATGTGTGGTTCAGATCAATGATCCATTCTCCTTCTGGGATAATCCTGGCTATGCTGTTTCATGTGCATATGCTTATCTTAGTATCTGACTCTGTATTATCGTAGTTTAGTACTGGTACAATATAGTCTATATGATGTATGCCTTACTATAAATTATAAATCTAATATGATAATATATTTTATTTTGTTTCACTATTCAGGATATAGGCTCAATAAAATAATGCCCAACAGCCTGAACAGTTTCTTTAAAGACTGATGGTCAGGACAGCTATCATGATTGAAAAAGTCATCACTGCTACACTATGCTGGAAATATTGGTATCAAGTATTCAATGGGGAAATGTTAAAACAATTTCTATCATCTGATGAGACTTCAGCTTTATCACCTATCTTAGGTGTCCAGTTCTGCAACTTCTCAGTCAAGCTCCCAATTTATGTGTCAAAATATGAAACCCTCATTGGAGAGATTTTATAGTTATAGACACTAAAGTGTGTTAACTCAAACTCTCCATTTTCATCACAAAGAAGAGAACATTAACTCCATATAAGAAAAGATGCTTTCCACTTGTGGTTGCTATATGTATGTTCTAAAATGCCCCGGAGAACACACTGCAAAAGTTGCCCTTGCACTTTAAAAGTAAACAACAAGTTTTCAAGTCTAAGTAAATTGAAAAATTCCAATGGCAAGGAAATTTAATAAATATTCTATGTATACACCGTAATTACTTAATTTGTTCATTTGTGATGTATTTCAATGTTGTTTTTGCTTTGACAATTTCATGCTTGTTTTTATATTAATCAACAAAAATGCAGCGATGTGATAGTCAGGAATTTTGTTTGTTTTTAGATGGGGAAAAGTAGGGAATTTAGTTTTTAAAAAAGAGTGTGAACCCTGATTGTGATGTTACAGGTATTATCGTACAATAAATTGGGATAATATCGCATATTGCAAAGCTTTGTCAGTGTTGAGCTACCTGTAAATATTATAGAAGACATTCGAATTTTGTAAGCAATTTTCTTTTCACATTATGAACGCATCTGAGGGGTGGAAAGATGAAATTAGACGATTCATTTTTGAGTGGCACCCCAGACGGTTTATACATGATCTTGATTTATTTGTTCTCAACAGCATGGAGTGTACCGAGAATGAAACTAAAGCCCAGGCAGAGTGTGACAAGGTGAATGAAACAATGAAAAATTACAAAGAAAAGCTTGGGAGTGTAATCGAGAACAAGAATCTGAAGACAAAGGAGTACAATAAAGTTAGGAAGTACGTAAAATTGTCATTGTATCTTAAAATATTCCAGTTGCAATGTCCGCCTTTGGCTTGCTGTGTTGGTTTTTATTGTCATTGGTGCTTTTGGTGAACTATTTTACTTGGGTTGGATCTTTTTTCAGCCAGTGTCTGGCATGTCTTAGAGTTGGGTGATACCATGGAAGCACTTAAGGGAAATGACCACCCTGGCTAGTTATTTGCAGGGTTATCAATGGCTGTGAAGTTGTGCCTACATTCCCAAGAGTGTGTGTGTCTGTGATTTCCTTAGTTTATTTCTCAACACATGGTTTTATACAGTATTGAAATGCGTGTGGTTAATGGTCATTTTGCATTTCCTCTACATTGCTGTAAGAAACTTGTATAAAAATTAACTGTCTTTTCTTGATGAAATGAAGAAAGGAAAATAATAGAACTTAATTGTTTGCCTCAAGGCAGTATTGGTTTAAAAGCTGAAGTTGTATACTTCAGGTTGAAATGTTACTCATAAAATGATGATGGTTTATCATGTTTAATCGTGTCTCATGTCCTTGATCGTTTAGGGAATATGAGAAACTCCTGAAAGCCTCAGAGGAAAGCAAAGAGAAGTTTGCAGAGACAGAGAGTCAAGACGCTAAATGCCGAGAGGACATCAAGCTCAACAAGGCAAAGCTGAAAAAGTTGGAGAAATCCCTGGAGTCGGAAACTGCTAAGGTAAACTTTGGGCTTACTATATTATTTTTGTTTGTGCCGAGTCTTATAATTACTATTATTCATCACTAAGGGATGTCTATCCGAACAAACTGGAATACATTTGAGAAATTTTGGACATTTGGCTGACATGAGATAATGTTAATATACATTTATTCTCCAGCATTCCTATGACATCATCTGAAAAGAATGGCTATAATTTCTTAATTTCTCAACTTCTGTTTTGTTTTTGTAGGTTGAAGAATTAAAACTTGTACCAGAGCAAGCAGAGCAGGCGTGTGCCGACCTTCAGAAGAAGTTGCAGAACTTGGAAAAGGCAAAGGATAAAGAAGAGGAAAACGAGAAGGCGGTTATGGATAGTTTGAAGGACGAAACAAAGGTTACATCTTAGAGCATAAATATCCATTTTAAAAAAAAATTATTTCTCTTTTATAAATACATGTATCATTTAGATTAGAAAATTGTTGCCTCTTCCAGAAATCCTTTCCACAAATCTTTTAAACTTTCTTTCTTTTTAATAAGATGTTTTTATACCATTTACATTGTTTGAGATCTAAATAAAAATCATATAACTTTTGTATCTAATGATCTTTTTTGTACTTAACCTTTAATTTTAAACCCTCTCTAATTGCGATTGTTTAATGGTAATTGAAAGTTCGAAAGTTCGTTCATCAAAATGTATTTATCAATAGGTCTCGGGATCACACGATCAACTTGATTTTATTATTTTGAACAAAATGTTGCCTTAGTGAAATTCGTGGTAAATTATTTAAAAATAATTGCGTGCCAATGTACGGAAAGACTATGAAGTTGTCTTACAAATAATAATCTTGTTCCTCAGGGCATACAAGAAGAAAAGAATGTTAAGGAAGCCCAGCTGCTGGCTCAACAAGGAGAGCTCAATGAGAGAAAATCTAAAGTAAGTTTGTTTCTTTATTAGGTTGCATTATTGAGGTTTCATTTTTAATAGCTTTAAGCCAGGGTTGTCCTATTTTTTTTACCACATCCGAAGAGAAATTTATAACATACTAACTTTAACAGACACATTTATTCAAATACATAAAATTTATATTATTTTATAATCACTGAATTTTGTTTGATTGTGTGTCTATTTGTGTAAGTTTTCCCCAGGAGCCCAGGGGAATGGGTATTTTAGTACCAGGGGTCCAGGGGAATGGGCATTTTAGTACCAGGGGTCCAGGGGAATGGGCATTTTAGTACCAGGGGTCCAGGGGAATGGGCATTTTAGTACCAGGGGAATGGGCATTTTAGTACCAGGGGTCCAGGGGAATGGGCATTTTAGTACCAGGGGAATGGGCATTTTAGTACCAGGGGTCCAGGGGAATGGGCATTTTAGTACCAGGGGAATGGGCATTTTAGTACCAGGGGTCCAGGGGAATGGGCATTTTAGTACCAGGGGAATGGGCATTTTAGTACCAGGGGAATGGGCATTTTAGTACCAGGGGTCCAGGGGAATGGGCATTTTAGTACAAGGGGTCCAGGGGAATGGGCATTTTAGTACAAGGGGTCCAGGGGAATGGGCATTTTAGTACCAGGGGTCCAGGGGAATGGGCATTTTAGTACCAGGGGTCCAGGGGAATAGGCATTTTAGTACCAGGGGTCCAGGGGAATGGGCATTTTAGTACCAGGGGTCCAGGGGAATAGGCATTTTAGTACAAGGAGTCCAGGGGAATAGGCATTTTAGTACAAGGAGTCCAGGGGAATGTGTATTTTAGGACCAGGAGCCAAGGGTTCAAAGGGTTAAATTATTTTTTCTTTTTAAATTAATTAATTTGATAAGACCATTCAATTTTAATATTCCTTTTTACCTTTTGGAAAACATGATCACACATTATATTTTAATTTAAAAAAAAAATAGTTCTACTTTGAATTTGATAAACCATTTTAAAAAAGCTCAGTATAAAGTTTTATTTTGTTAGCTTCAAGTTGCTGAGTCTGAGCTTGATCTGTACACCAGCAGGCAGCAGTTGGAGACCAAAAAGTTAGACGCAATCAAACAAAAATTGAAAGACTCTGAAGCCTCATTAGAAAAACGACAACAGTAAGTCAATATTTCTTGCGTCCTTGTAGTCTTTCAGAATTGTCAAACAATTATTATTATTTTAACTTTTAGATGCACATGTGGTTTATAGGTGCCAAGTTATTTTCATTCCTCTATTGATTCATAATTTCTGTGCAGAGATGCAAAGCGACATGAAGAGGAAATTCCAAAAGTGGAAGCCAAATTGGCCACTGCAAAAGAAGCACTGCAGCAAATAACTAAGGCAGAGGCTGCATGTGAGGAAAAGGTATAATTGAATCTGTTGACTTTAAGTAAGACTTTGTAAAAAATACTCCATTGCCCACAATTTTCCATGTATTACATGTCACAACATGAATTTAAATTTGTAGAAGGCTTTAAGACTTTGCTAGTTCAAATCCAGCTGCAAAGTAGTTAGTGCTGGTAAATTTGTTTTGTCATTTTTGTTTTTGGTTAACTGACACTAAGGTCTTACTAGTTTTAAATTATCTAACCAGCTTAACTCTTTACATTCTTTGAATTTTGCAAGTTTTTCATGAGATTTCTAGTGACCTTTAAAAAAGAGTCAATAACTTTTAGAATCCTTGTCTAAAATTGTTCATGATGGTATATATATTATTGTGGGGAAATGCATGGTTTCTAAAAATATTTGTTTTCAAACACATAGTGTCAATACTTAGAAGTTGTGAAAAAAATAATGCAATTTTTAAAAAATGAAAATGTTTATATAAAAAAAAAAATTGGCAAAGAATGAAAAAAACAAACCACATAAAATTATTTAATAAGATCTGTTTACTTAGAAAGCAAATTCATTTTCTTATATCATATGCATGATTTAGAACATTTCATGAGAATTTGACCAAAATATTATTTTGTAAAATGTATCAAAAAGGGGAAATAATAAAAAAAAATAAAAAAATCACCGCCCGACCAAGTATTTACAAAAATTACAGGTTATTATTATTTTACCTTTTAAAAATTACTTCAAGGTTTTAAAAAATAATAGAGGTTTTAAACTTCATGGTACTGTTAGTCAGAAAGTTTCTTGTTATTTTAACAAAAATAAATTTACCATGCGCTATATTTGATTTATAATTTTATTTTCTTAGCATTCCTATTTTATAGCACACTGACAATTGCTTTTAAAATCTATGCAATCAGGAATTATTGCATTTAGATTGTATTTGGTGTTATTTACATTTGCAGCACTTGGAACTGCATCCCTTTTAGTAAATAATCAAATGCTAAAATAATTTCCTCGGTGAAGTCAATTGAGAATAAAATGTCAGGTAGCTTCAGTTCATCTAATTTGGAACGCCCTTCCTGTCGATCTCAGAAACAACCAGACACTGGAGTCCTTTAAAACCGATTTAAAGACACATCTATTTCGCAAACACCTTCTGGGATGATTGTCAACATTATTTTCCAGTTAATGCATAATGGCTGTGTTGCTTATGGTTGAAATGGCTAGAAAGACTTTGCCATTGTATGCTTGTACTTAGTTTTTGTCGTGTTGCGTTTGTTTTAAATGTGGTAAACTATAGATTTGTTTTTTTTTACTTTGTACCGCGCTTCGAGCCTTTGGGGATGAAGCGTGTTTTTTAAATGAACTTTATTATTATTATTATTATCTATATCAGGGGTCTCCAAACTTTTCAGTCCGAGGGCCGCATTAACTATCAAACAGCAGTTCGGGGGCCGCATACACACGCGAGGTCCAAATAACAAAGAATCAAAACACGAATGTTGTTTCTAATTATTTATGTATTATTATTTCATTCAGTTATTGTTTAATAACACATTGATACACGACACATGAACACCTGTATTAGTATTAGTATGAATGGTGAACTTGTTTCCTGAATGCCAAAATAGCAGTGATCAGCAGACATTTCTGGATTTAGATTTGATGTCCCTAACATCAACAGTGACCTGAGATGATCATCGGACAAATTTGTTCTCAAATTGTTCCTCACTTATTTCGTTCTTGAAAATGTTTGTTCACACAGGTCTGTTGTTCCAAAGTTGAAAAGGTACATTTATGCAAATGTTTTGAAATTAGGAAAGTCTTCCTTGGGCGAAAACTAGTTAAAAAACCCACTGGTCCTTCTTTTAACTTGTCCCTATGGAGGTCATTTGCTTGCAACTCTATGACCTCCGGGTGCAGTTCATCTGGGCGACTGGTCACATCTGCTTCAAATGGGTTTTGAAAAAGTCTCACTTCTTCTGCCTTTGAATCCAAGTCAGAAAACCGCTGCTGACACTGCTGATTTTGATGATCTAGCATACAAATGAGGTGGGCAAGTTGTTGGCCTATGTATTTGTTCCAAAAACCAAGACAAAATTGGATCTGAAGGCCTTTAGAAAGGTGTATAGATCAGAAACTAGATTTTCCTCTCTCCTTGTAATTTTAGGTTCAGAAAATTTAAATGACTAGTTATGTCTGCAGCAAAGACCAATTTCCATACCCACTCTTCATCAGACAGTAATGGCCGTGGATTGCCTTTACTTTCCAGGAAGTCACCTTTTTCCTTTCTTAACTTAAATACTCTGCTCAGAACTTTCTCACAACTTAGCCATCTTATTGCTGTGTAATTTGGTAAATCTTGTGATTTTGTGTCTGTATCTTTGAACATTTCTCTGAACTGTCTATGGTTGAGCCCATGTGACCAAATTAAATGAACCCTCTTTACCACAGGATTCAGTACACTGCTAATGTCCACATATTTTTCACACAAAGCTTTGTGCTGAATAATACAGTGCAGGAACATTGGTTGCAGGATTATGTCTCATTACACATGTGCTTCACTTGTCCTCCCAAGCCTTTCTTTATGCCACTCATGTTCTTTCCTCCATCAACAGTCAGGCAACTGTGGTTAGTCCAGTCCAAGTTATAATCAGCAAATGTTTTTTTCAACTCATTGAATATATCCTCTCCTGTAACAGTGTCGTACATGCTAAGTAGGGAAGCCAGCTCTTGTGTTATTTTCATGTCTTCATCCACACCTCTAACGAAAACAAGCAGTTGAGAGGTGTCTAGCGATTCATCCATTTCAATAAAAAATTGGCAAAACTTGCTTGCATTTTTCGCTGTTTGAGTCACAATGTTTTCACGCATGTCTGCAACACGGCGGGTAAAGCTCCGCCGCTATATGGCGTTATATCATCTCATTGACTGTGAACGGAAGTAGAAAAACTAAGCAGCGCATAAGGTTTTGCCAAGTCATGATCGGTTAGAAAACATAACGCACTACTGCTTGCCTCTATTTTAATTTGGTAAAAACATAACGTCCACGTAAGCGGCGTCTGATCTTGGCAGGATAGACATAAATTTCCGTATTTTTCCCCGTAGACAAAAAGGTCTCTGCGGGCCACATGAGACGGCCTCGCGTGCCGCATGCGCCGTAGTTTGGAGACCCCTGATCTATATCATAGTTTTCTTTTGAACAATCCTGAAGAGATTATAGCTGGCATTATCAACAAAATGGAAAAAGGGATTAGTCCAGTGCTGTTCTCTTTACTTAGAATGATATATTCATTTATCAACTGGCCATCACCACACAGGTCACAGGAAGCAATTGTATGATTTCAAAATCTGATTTGACAATATTTGGTTTTTCTCCCCAATAATTGCCTAGAAATACACGATCAGTTTTGGTTTTGTTCACAAAAGAAAATCCATTTGCTTTCATATTATTTGAAATAAGTGAGGCTTTTCTCTCCACTGAACATAGTGTAAATTCTATTATCTCTTAACCATCACATCATATCACATTGCTTTGATTTTTATCTTTACTTACTTCTGTTAAAGTCTGACAAGTTCACTTTGCACAGTTTGTCCTCATTGTCTGTTTCATTATTATAAACTTTGAAGAATTTCTTACTTGAATAAATCTGTTTTTGGCAATAGGGCATGAGCCCACAATTCATGGTAGTAATGAAACATTGTTGCGGTTGACGAGTATTTTTGTACACTGAGGACTTGTACAGTTGACATGCACATTAGTAGTACTAGAAATGTGTAAAAGTGGTATATTGTTGAGTTATCAACAAACCACAGTTGATGGATGGTTTAGAGGGTCCCATGGTAGTTGAATAGGTGTATTTTGTCCCATGGTAGTTGAATAGGTGTATTTTACAAATGTTTCAACCAAATTCAGTGTGAAACATATCTTGAAAATCCTTAGACTTTATGATGCAGATTGTATCCATGTTATGATGACATTTCTTCCCACACAACTCAGCCTGGCTTTCTGGCTGGGGGAAACTTAGGAGTGGGAACCAGTGGGTCATCATCTCGAACCTCATACAAGCCTAGCCTGTGAATGTAAAAGAAGAACTAATATTATAGACCTTTATGCAACTATTAGGGATGCAATGAATATAAAATATATACTTTTCTTAAATTTCCAGTTTTTAATGCTTCAAATACTGTCTAAAAACCGTTATGACAAAAAAAATTAGTGTCAGATAATTAATTTTTTTATAACACACATGGATGTCAAATTTCATGGTCTTTAGGATGAAATCTATCATAATAAACAGTGCCGACTGCATTGTTTACATTCCTTAGAAACAGTTTCTAAGCATAACGTCTTCTAAAATTATTTATATAATAAAATATTCGCAAATTATACAATGATTTTATTTGCGTAGATTCATTTTAAAATGGGTAGTAAATACTTCAATTATGATTAAAAATACAATTTAAGCTGATAAAATAAAAATAAAAGTAAAAAATCTATTAAAAATATAGAATGACGAAACAAAACACTCGATTACTAACCTTCTAGTTTTAGTGACTATAATGGGCTATAAAGTCAGATTCTCATCAAAATCTGAATCAAAGTCACTAGATTCAGGTTCCCAACTATCTTCCCCAGATGTTTCAGATAAAATTTGATCAATATTTTCGTCAGTAGTATTCAGTATTTAAAATTTTGGGCTGCCGAGTCGACTAGCGTCTGGCACAAATTTTCCTATCCTAAAATGGCGAGTAACGCTGCGGCATGTCACATGAACGTCGAACTCGAAAAAAAAAATCATTTATTATTTAAAATCTTTAAATATTATTTTTTAATATATTTTTCTTCCAAAAGTATGATAAAATATTTATAGAACACTTAATAAATAAAAAAGACAATATTTTATTAGCGAAAATAACCAACGTATATAGTTGTATGCTCTCTATATAAGAGGAATGAAAAGAGTTAAGTGTAATTCAAACTTTTTGATTTTATGTGTGGTTGTTAAATTAATCACCTTTATTCTTAACACTTTCTCAGCGTAACAAACTCAGAGGGCAAGTGGAGGAGGCCAAGAGCTCAATGGCGGCCTCAAAGAGTAAGAATCGCGTATTGGATGCTCTGATGGCAGAAAAAAAGAAAGGAACACTTCCTGGAATTTATGGCAGATTGGTAAGTTATTGGCAAGTGTCAGATCCTTACACACTGCGACACACAAATGTCTGGTAAGGTAATAGTCTCCAATCATAAGACAACATACAACTGAAACCTGGCACATACGCACATCTGGTAGATTAAAGGTGTCAGAATAAATACACATCCTAGCATAGTCAATATGTAACAATCTGTGTAAAATTAATTTGTAAAATTGTTGATAAAATGAGAGATTCAGTATTATTATATATTTTACTGTAACCTCCAAACTTCATTTGCACAATTGCCTAATGAGGAATCCAACTTCTCCAATAATATTTGCTTGATTAATATCTGTTGGCAATGTAAGTAAATGAGTTTCATTACATAAAACTAATGTGGAAAGAAAGTTTAACTCAACAAATCAAAATGACCTTTGTTTTGTTAAAAAGTTTAACTCAACAAATCAAAATGACCTTTGTTTTGTTAAAAGGGTGACCTCGGTGCCATTGATGCCCATTATGATGTTGCCATTTCGACTGCTTGCGGAAGCTTGGATCATATAGTGGTGGACAATATCGACACAGGCAAACGCTGCATTGAGTTCTTGAAGCGCAACAACATTGGCCAAGGGCATTTCATTTTGTTGGACAAGATGGAAGTGTGGCGTGCTGAGACCAAGAAAAAAATTATAACGTAGGATGTTTATTTAAATAATTTTCATACATTTTCTAGCTTTTGTCATAGTTTATCAGCCAGACATTTAAAATTCTTGTATATCATTTGTAAGTATAAATAGTAAATAGATTTTATGAAGAAGACATGTTTACATAACAGGAAACTTAGAATAATGAAAAAAATCACATGACATCTTTTAGTTTTTTAAATGATTAATGTACAGTTGGTATTATTTTTTTTTATCTTGATCATTAAACATTTATTGTAATTGCTCTAGAAGGAGAAAACCTACCCTTTTTCTAAAACCAACCTTTTGCCATTACAGGCCTGAAAATGTACCTCGATTGTTTGATTTGGTGAAAGTGAAGGAAGAAGCACTCAAGACATGCTTCTACTATGCCTTGAGAAACACTCTCGTTGCGAAGGAGATAGACCAGGGCACCCGGATTGCTTATGGTAAAACAAGATACAGGGTGGTGACGCTCAAGGGAGAGCTGATAGAGTTAACAGGTAATAAGTGAATCTAATTTTTCTTTGGCAAACAGAAATTATCGATGTTTCATTGATGTTTTTAATCTGGGGGATATGTTTAAAAAAAAAAAATAGTCCTTTACTACTGAAAATTTACCGTACCGATATTATAGAGAAACATACAAAAAAATGTTAAACATCCTTATTCACATATCTTTTTTCTTAAAACAGAAACAAACTCTCTCCCCCCCCCCATGGAACCTGACATTAATTCAATTATATTCATTTCAAACTTTTGGCATAATACAAAGCTTGAATAAATATGAAATCCATCGCCTTCCCAAAACAAATAAATATCTTCTCATAATGTTACAACACTCATTGGTCCCATTCACCAAATGTAGTTATTTTCTTTCACCAGGTGCAATGAGTGGTGGAGGCACCTCAGTTTGTAAAGGTAAAATGGGCTCAGCTATTGTGTCAGATGTTGACCCTAAAGAAATAATCAACATGGAGAACACACTAGAAAAAGTAGGTTTTCAATATTTTTCATATCAGTCTCGGACCTGCCAACCCTTCCGATTTTGTCATTATATTACAGATTTTTTACCCTTCATTTGATTTGATTGGACATTTATATAGCACTGGTATCCATGCTACTTTAGCATGCTCACTGCGAACTGGTTTTCTTAAATCTATTTAAACAGAAAAGTTTTAAATGTTTCTTAAATGATTTTTTTAATCATTTTTCTATCCCCTCAAAGATTGAGGCAAACTGTTCCATAATTCCGACCTTCCGACAAAACCGTTAAAATTCTGACTTTCTGAACATTATAATTTTTCACCAGTCATAAAAATCCGAAAGGGAAAAAATACAAAGACGGGTACCCGTATGACAGGAAGTGGGGCATTTCAATAATGCCACTTCCTTTGTTTTTACCAAGTGTCTACATGTCCAGCGATCGGACGAATAAGTTCTTGAGATATTCGACAGGTTATTATATACTTGACCAAGTCACATGACCACCGTAAAAAATTTGCGTGAGATATTTGTCCGTCAGCCTTGTCAGGTGACGGCTAATAGTTGATCCGTCTGGTCACCAGACGTAAAGACACTGCCTTGATTTATCAAAGCGAACCGCGATCTCCAAATCATTCTTCAATCATCAATTGATCCGATCGTGATTCATCCTTTTACTAGGCTAAAAAATAATCCCGTAATGTTGCGACTTTTTTTTATTGTTAAAGCTTTTCTTATTTAAATACATAAATCTGTTGAAAGTGGTGGGTATTAATAAGCATATTTTAACACACAAAAACCACTCCACGCGCAACCCCCTATCCATCCATCCAACCATCCCTGTGGCGCTACAGCCCATGTAGGGCTTTGGCCTGCCTCACTACTTCCTTCCACTCAGACCTAACTAATGCCTTTCTTTTCCATGCTTGGACTTTCAGCTGCTGTAGATCTTTTTCTACATCATCTATCCACCTAAGCCTAGGTCTGCCTTTGAGCCTTTTTCCTCTGGGGTATTGGTGATGTACCCTCTTCGTTCCTCTGTCATTTGGCATTCTCTCTAGGTGTCCTGCCCAGCGTAGCCTGCCTCTTTTTATTTCTGCCACTATCGTAGGATCCTGATATAGACTGTTTAATTCCTGGTTGGTTCGTATTCTCCATCCATATTCATCCTTTGTTGGCCCATATATTTTCCTGAGAACTTTCCTCTCCCATGTGTTTAATAGATTTTCTGCTGTTTTTGTTAGGGTCCAAGTTTCACTTGCATATGTTACAAATGGTCTGATCACAGTTTTATAAATAGTTTTCTTTGTTTCTCTTGTAATGTTTTTACTTTTGAGTATTTTCTGACTACTGAAGTATGCCCTGTTTCCGGCTGATATTCTTTCTTTTATTTCTGTTAGTAATTCGTTTCTTTCATTTAACAAGGATCCTAGGTATTTGAATTGATTTACTTTTTCAAAAGTTTGGTTTCTAATTTTAATTGTTTCATCTGTTTGTTCCTCTCTTATCATGGTCATGTATTTTGTTTTTTGGTTGTTAACTTCCAGCCCTGCTTGTAAAGATGCGTCTTCTAATTCAATAAAGGATTTTGATATGTCTTTTATACTTTTCCCTAGAAGTGCTATGTCATCAGCATATGCAAGATACTGAAGTGGTTGGTTGTAGAGTGTGCCCGTTGGTTGTGGGTCTTGAGTTTCCCTCAGAAAGTATCCTGTTATCGTTCCTTGAGTGTCAATGTGTATTTTTCTAATAACTCTCTCCAATGTTAGGTTAAAGAGCATACAAGACAGTGAGTCTTCCTGTCTTAGGCCTCGTCTAATATGAAATTCCCTTGAATATTCTCCTTGAATCTTGATTTTGCTTTTTGAGTTATTTAGTGTTACATGTATTAGCCTTGTCAGTTTGTTGGGTATCCCAAACTCCTGCAGAGTCTCATATAAATAGTTTCTTTTGATGCTGTCATAGGCCATTTTATAGTCGACTTAGAGTTGATGTACTGGTATATTAAATTCATAGCATTTCTCTAATAGGCATCTGATGGTGAAAATCTGATCAGTCTTTGATCTGTTAGGCCTGAATCTGCATTGGTAATCACCTAGTATTTCTTCAGTGTAATGTTGTAGTCTTTTGGCAATAAGTTTCGTCAGTATTTTGTATGCAACATTTAATAGGGAGATTCCTCTGTATCCTTCTCCCATTCCCTCTTTTTCTTCCTACCCATTTTTGATGCTTTCCTTCTGGCTTCCTTGAATGCTTGTGTTGTCTTTCTGGTTTCCCTTTGTAACATGATAATTTGTGCTTTGTTTCTATCTTCCACAGTCGCTCTGCATTCATGTCGTACCAACCTATTCTATTGTTGGCATGCTGAAATCCCACTACTTTTTCTGTTGATCTTTTAATGGCATTTTTTATCCTATCCCACTGATCATTTATGTTGTTTTCCCCATTTATTTCCTCGTGCGATGCTTCTAAATGTGCTTCTACTTCATTCTGGTAAGCTTTTGCAGTTAATGGGTCTTTGGGCAGCTTTTGGTAATCGTATCGTTTCTCTCTTTGATTACGACCATTGTGAACTAAGCTATCTCCTCTGCCTACATTTCACCCTTACAAGTAGGTGGTCCGAGTCCGCATCTGCTCCTCTAAGGCTTCTCACATCTAATATATCTGATCCATGTCTTCGATCTATTAAAACGTGATCGATTTGATTGCGGGTGATTCCATCTGGTGAGTTCCACGTTGCTTTATGTATATTTTTGTGCGGAAACTTGGTGCTGCTAACTGACATCCCTTTTCCTACCCCGAAGTCTATGAGTCGGATCCAAGTGTTATTGGATTCTTCGTGCAGACTTTCCTTGCCAATAGTTGGCATGAACACCTTTTCTTTTCCTATTTTGGCATTGAAGTCTCCAATCACTATTTTAATATCATGTCGTGGTGCCTCTTCGTAGATCTTTTCCAGTGTTTCATAGAAGGATTCTTTATCCTGATCTTCTGTGTCTTCCGTTGGAGCATGCACATTTATTAGTGTTATATTGAACATTTTTCCTCGCACATGCAAAGAACACAATCTTTCGTTCTCTGGTTTGAAGCCTATGACTGCACTGACCGCTTCTTTTTTCACTGCAAATCCTGTGCCTAATGTGTTGGTGTTGCTTCCACTATAAAATATGGTGTATTCTTTTGTCTTGAGGATATCTGAATTTTTCCATCGAATTTCTTGCAATGCAGCAATAGATATTTTATATTTGACCAGCTGATTTACAAGGTTGGCTAAGGCTCCTGCTCTAAACAGGCTTAGTACATTCCAAGTCGCAATCCACAAATCATGTCCATATCCATGCATAGGTCGAT